GCATCCAACCCTTCTTCCTCTAGCTAAACCACCTTTTCTTCATATTTTGCACTCCGAACACCTTAAATCATCACACATAACTTAATTAGTCATCAAACCAATAATTACACCATGTTGGGTGTTTTAAAGATTAAATAACATCAAGAAGTGGTTAAAACATGGGCAAAGTAACATCAACACATATCGAAATATGCCAAACATCATTTGGACAATGAGAAATTATGTTGTACGCAATATATGGTGGTAAATGTAGAATTTAATAGCAGTGAGTGTATTTATAGTCCTAGATTGATATAGCAGATGCACGTGCGCTCATTGCATATATTCTGGATTTTCCTCTGCCTGTAATTCTTGATGCTTGAACTCAAAAAAAAGAACACCAATGTTAAGACCTATAGGCTCGGGCCATGAGAAAAAAATTGTGGGCCAATATGTGGTGGTAACTGATTAAAGAATTCTAACATGGCAATTCAACAGGGGTGGTGCAAGGTTGGGCAGCAATACTAATGGGGTTAATGTCCGGATGCATTCCATGGTTCAGTATGATGTTCCTCCACAAGAAAATGTGGTTACTAAAACAAGTAGACGACACCATGGCAGTGTTCCACACACACGCGGTAGCAGGAACCTTAGGCGCGATTCTAGCAGGTGTATTGGCAAATCCAAGACTCAGTCGCATCTTCTACATGGTTGATGATTGGCCAAAGTATATAGGCTTTGCTTATGGCATTCAAAATGGGAGGTCGCGTGCAGGGCTCAGGCAATTATGGGTACAATTAATAGGCATTGGATTTGTTTTCGTTTGGAATGTGATTAGCACTAGTGTGATTTGCTTATTAATTAGGATGGTGGTTCCTCTGAGGATGACAGAAGAAGAGGTAAGTGAAGGAGATAATGCAGTACATGGAGAGGAGGCCTATGCACTGTGGGGTGATGGGGAGAAATTTGACAACTCAAGGCTTCAGTTAGTTCATGAAATTGAAGAACCTCCCTTGTCTAAAAGTGGCTATGGACTTTGATTGGATAGTCTGTTGCTAATGTTATTACAGCATGTTAAAATATTTGTCAAGTTAAATAATTCTCAAGCCTTTTCGTCCTGTAAGATGTCCTCGTCCAAATTTATCAACTCTGTACTGTGTTTACCTATACCTTGGATAGTTAAATACAAATGAAAGAAAGGGACACGCTCAGTAGTCAATAGCATCATGCTGCGGACTTCCCTTATCAAGAATTGAAACATCTTCCTTTACTTCTTCTTTTGTCACATGACATGATAGTTGGCGTCTACTCTATAGTTCCATGAATGGCAAAGTGGTAGATCTCACTTCTCTAAAAATTTATGGTGTTTTGATGTTTGCTGGAATTCATTTACATTTTAAGTTGACATAACTGAACTACTTTTTTCTTATATTTTAATGTGAAAAAGAAAACAACAAAATACTAAATGCTCCTGTATTTATTTTTTTTATAACAACTCTATGCACCCAAGATTGTGGCCTATGAGTAAATAAACTGATGTACAGCGGGAGGTAGCAGATGCTCGATAGAATAGTAAAGTTATGTGCCATCTGACTTGAACATCATGTAATTTGGAGAAGTAAAACAAAAAAAGCAACCTTGTACGTCAATATTCAAGTGGTGTAGAAATGACAGCACAAACTTATATGCTCTTTCGGTCGTTAACTAATGAAGTTGGCAGACAACCTAGGTCCACCCTTGCTACCCCGGAACCTTACAAAAGATTTTTTCACTCTTTACCAAAACAAGGTAAACTATTGCATTGCCCAATAGGCCTTAGAAGTAAGAATGTGCAATACTGTCTAAAGTCCATCAAAGGATTCATGAAACCATCTTTCAGTTTCAACTATATGCACGCAGAAGAAGATAAGACATCAAATATCCGGTCTTACTCGCCTTCTGGATCCTTCTAGTCAGGGGTGGGCTAGAAGCCTAGGAACGGGTTCGGCCGAACTTAATAGTTTTTGCTTAAACAGTGCATTTGTGTTAAAAAGTTCATTACATATGTACAAATTATAAGTTTAAAACTCAGTTATTATCTTAAAGTTGACGTTCTAAATCCAGAACCCATAAAGTTAAAATCTTAGCTCTACCTCTGCTTCTATTCTATTGCATTTTCATTCACTAATTGGCTTCTGTTGCCAGATTATACAATTCATAGCGTCTGCTTTATAATATGTTTATTGGTGATCATCCAAAATTGTGAGGTTACAGTTCAAGCTGGATAAGATGTGACACAAAGTCTTTGAGAAAAATTACTTGTTGGACTAACCACATCTAACTGTTAGAGGAATTGCTGCAATCACACTTGTACTACTTCAATATGTTGAAGCATTCTTTTGGTTCTTCATTACTATATCTGTTCATTTCTGATTGTCATACTCATACTAAGAAATAATTAGCTCGAAATAATTTTCTGACAATGGAGTTACCCCTTATGACGTTTGTTTCTAGTTTTTGTGGACCAGTAATCAGCACGGTTTGCTGGATATCTAATATTCTGAGCTTATATCTTATGGTTTGTATCATGTGGCTCGGGAAGTAGTCTGTTTTCACTTGACCAGAAGTTAAAACATCTTAGGAGATATAGCTGCAGTTTTCATATTTCTTTAAATTTTGGTGTACTTTCTGAAGATAAATTCATACCATGTTTTATACCTGCAATCGAATAATTTCAAACAATATTCAGAAATTTATCTGGTAATACCCGTATGTGTATTCTAATTGGTTCCTGTGACACCTCTCCAGTTACCGATGTTTTGATATGAAAATAAATTGAAAGGATATATGAACGGCGTTATGAAATCTCCACATCTTTCTTCTTCATTTGACTGTTGCAATCCTGTTGGTGTTTATTGCCAAGTTTGCCTGCGCGAATTTTGTAGAAAAAACATGAGTAACATATTCTGGCACACTCAATATCCATGATAGTTTTATTTGTTTCATAACATTTGTTTTCCCGAAATGTCAGCTTCTGCATAGATTTGAATCTCTGGCTAAAGAGAAGAAGGGCATAGATTAATAAAAATTTGCAACTATAGTAGTTGAAAAAGTTACATAATTTGTAGCATGGCTGCACAAATGCTGGATCTGTATCTGGTGGGGGAGCATCCTGTCCAAATATCATCTCACAGCTCATATCATCAAAGTCTGCAAATTAAGCAAAGGTCTCAACATCTGTTATATGTAGAATTTGGCTCTTTTTCTTACCATATGATTAGTGTAGGTCATGGAAAAATGATTGGATGTGGGGATGGGAAGTGCATGAACTATTACTTTTCTACATTTGAAAAAGGAATCCTGCACTTAGCATTGTGAGACAAGTCTAATTCATCTAATTCATTTTTTCTCCTCTTTTTTCCCCTCCCTCCTTTGCCTTGGTTGAATTCTTGTTGGCATAAACTACAACAACTATGCCTTAAATTCTAAGCACGTTGGAGTCGGTTATTCACTGTCCATGTCACCGTTTTGTGTGAGTTTGCACACATTGCTAGTCCCAAGCCCGAATATAGGAGGGCTGAGAAGAATCCTAGTAGGTTAACAGTTAGCGTAAAACTAGTCAATTTATGATGAATCCTCACAATATGAGACACGATGGATTCTTGTTGACATAAAAAATACAAAATATTGTCTGCTATTTGCTACAATTTTCAACAGCAATATGATGATACTTTTTCAGAATTGCACCTTCAGTGGCATCAAGGTGGGGCCTCCCAATGAAGTGATATGCAAAGTCTCCAAGTTCTAGTGCAGGTACTATTACTCTTTCAATAGGGTAAGGTGATTTAAGCTTATTCTTGTTGACATAAAACTACAAATTACTCTTTGAAATATTTGTTTTTGAAGAATGTACAAGTATGTATTAGCATTTGGTATACTTACTTGGTACCATGTTCACTGGCATTCCTAATGTATCCTTGATGAACAATTGAGAAGGCATCTTGCAGAGGTTAGTGCACATTCCCACGCAATTGGTTTCCTCCAGAAACCTACAATGTATTTCATTTGTGAAGAATGGAATTAAAAGGTTTGGGAATTACTATAAATTAAAATAACTTACGTTTGTTGAAACAGACAGTGAATTCATATACCATCACCATAACAATAGATAATCTCAAGACTGGACCGAGAAACAGATAAATACCTGCATTTTTTGATGTGGACCACATTGTTTTCCTTTCTCCCGTTAAATTCTGACTCTTTCACCTTCAAGCATGAGAGAATGATTAAGAAATAGAGGAGCCAGACTTTGAACTTTATGAGTTCTGAATTTGCTAATGAATTCATTGCTAGTTCATTTTAGTTACTGCGTTCACGGAAGACTAAAAAATCTTTGTCCACCAAAAAAAGGCCGTAAATAGAGAGTGATGAAGGAGGAAGAGGAGCTTGCTTCGCCCTCCCATTCAGTGGGGCTATTAGAGAATTAGGCAAGTTCGTATGTTTGAGTGTTCATCCGGGTGAATCTATATGCAAACTAAATATTTATATATATTTAATAGATTTTCTAAAACGGTAGTTATTGAATTCGTCTAAAACCCATACCTAATACTGTGATGGTTACTTCCATTTAAGGTCCTGTGGTTGTTTCATTTTTCAATGTTACTCCTTCATTTTTGTTCGTTGTTATTGCCAATGTTATCACTGGTTTAATTGTTATTCCATTACATACGTAAAAATAAAAACGTGTTGTGACATGATACACTGTTTTATGTGCGGACAGTTACAAGATTCCTGTCACAAATAATTAGGAATATTTAAGAGCGTACCTCACAGGGTCCCACTAGCCAAGAGAAGAAGACTCTGGTGAAAGCAGCGCAATACTCTCTTGCCCACTTAGATTGTGGTAGTACCATCTTCATCTAAAGTTTATATATGTTTTAATAAGTGAGATAATAATAATATGAAAATAAGACAAATTATTGGCTACATGTTTAAATAATTATATTTATTTATAACGTCGATACATATAAATTAATTTCGCTACAAAAAACAGTTTGTATTAATGAAGTATTATTATTCAAGTGACAAGCTAAAACAATTTTCCGTTTCACGTTTTACTTCTCGATATTTTTAAAACATCACCAACATGTCATCCCCGGTCATCACTACCAACATTGTGTAAAGGCATAATAATTACCGATTTGTTGGATAGAAAAATATTTTAAGCAACTTGTTTTATGTGCTAGCTCTTTCTGTCTTTGTCCCATTACCTAATAATTTCTGTTTTGTTTGAGAAAAATATAGACGGGCCATTGAGCAGTGTTTGCCTTTAAATAATACTCCGACGAAATAGTAGCATTAAAAAAGGGTTTTCCAGTTGGAAGTGCAATTGGGTGATAGAAGTTAATAACAAGAAAGGATCTATGATAAAACCAAAGTTCTCTGATATGAAGCTCTACTTTGGAATCAGAAGCATCTAACTTTTGTCCTACTGCCTAAATATTAACGTGCATGTTAGCCTGCAGGAAATTGGATTCATACATGTTTACTCAACTTTTCATTTTATTGCACCAGAATCATTAATCCGTTTACTGTAACAAAAGAATCACTCAACTTTACCTAAGTATTACAGAAAGTCACTAAAAATTCACCCAAATATGCTTAAATATTACAGAAAGTCACTAAATAAATTTGAGATAAGGAAAAAAAAGACATGAACTTGCCAGGGAAAGAATAGGCTTAGGGAATGCCTTTTGAAGAGCTTCAACAACAAGATTTACTTGACGCGTTGAGTTAAAGTTGGTATATACCATCTTTGCAGCCTCCGCCAAGCCTTCATATCCACTCTTATTGTTTCTTAATCCTATAAATTAACTTAAAAAACATTAAAAAATATAAATTAAAGGAGAGAGACTAGTATCTTAATTTACCTGTGGTAGCTTGTATACTTTGAGAGAGATGATTAATGGCGAGACGATCGAACCAATTATCTTTGTAAACATTATTGGAAGAACTGCCTGTGGTTGTTTCTGCATTATGATTTTGATTATTTGCAGGTGGCTTCGTTAATATGGAGCATAGTGGATATGGTATATTTTTGTATTTATAAGTATTGATCTTATTTCTGTTTCTCATGGATACTGTTGAAAAGCTATGGTAGGGTTGAACAAGATTTGCTTCCATTAGAAAGAGAGAGAAAGAAGCTCAGTGTGATGAATAGCAACTTTGGATTAGTAGAAGAATAAATGATACAAATTGTGGGAGAAAATGACAATTTTATAGTAGAAAGTATTATAATTATATATGGGCGATCAGAAGTACATACAAACAAACAAAAGAGAATGTAAGAGTATATTAGGACAGCCTCTAAATCTTGATACCTCAAGTGAATTAGACATATTGCCAATGCTAGTATTAAGTTGCTTACATCATGCCCCTACCAAAACAAAACTTAATTGAATAAGCTTTTTTCTTTTTTCAGGTTATAAATAGTGATAGTGTACTTTAATATGTGATATTAAGCTAGTTACCATTTCGTCAAATTAGTAATTGTTATATTTATCATAAAAATTAAGTTTAAGTGCATAAAATTTAAAGTCTTAAACACATTTACTTTTTCCTTGAAAAAAGGAGATAAAAGAAAAGTGGGGAAGAAGATGCCTCTGCAGCCTCCTTCGAGAGAGCACTCCCTTCTTCTATTCTAATCTTTTTTCTTCTCTTTGTTTCTTCAGTGGAAGACATCATAAAATAGAATCCACCTCTCTTGTGTAGACTGGTTCACTAATAAAGATTACATGGCTTAATTTCGGCCTCACCTGAAACACCTTTCTTATAGTAATTTCTAGATCAACGTAGGCACTAATTAGCTATAACTTATGCGAGACACCTTATTCTTAGTTTGTTCGAAAAATAATCGTACGTTTAAATAACTTTGCATGTTATTTATTTATAACACACAAATATCTATAGATTATCATGGACCATAAGTTATTTTCTTTAACTTTATGCTAAATTTGCTCTATTACGCAATACTATTTCAATATTTCTAGTGTCACCTAAACTCCATTTCATTTAATTTCCATTTTGTAGAGTTGATACTTCCAAATCAGTGTCATCCTAATCCTCGCAATAATCTATTGTACACCACTCGTAAGCTTAATATAATAAAGTCAGTCTCAAACGCAGATAAAAGCAATGTACAATAGAATACAGTGATTTCAAAATCCATTCTTGCCCAAACATAGGCTCTGTGATAATAAAGGATGCAGTTCAACAGCCGACACAAAATCATAAGTGGTCATCCTGTGATTCGAACTACACGCCTTTATTTAGGTCTGTCAGAAGGTTGTAGATTTTCCAAACAGACCGCTAAAATACAATAAGCATCTACTACACAGGTCCAATGACATAGATACAGCAACTGATCAACAACCAACAAGACAATATAAATGTCGAATTAAAATTTCCAGTGTCCACTACATCCTACAAGTTTACTTGATCAAACATGACTGAGAAGCTGAAAACGTTCCTAAATTAAAATACACAAGCCTACTGATATCAAACCAGAGAACAGAACAAAAGACACTTACACGACCTGTCATTAAGTCAAGAGACAACAAAATTAAAAGCAGGAGTATTTCACTCCTTGGTGGTTTTGTTTATGAGTGATTTGTGAATGTGAGGGATGACACCACCACCAGCAATCGTCCCTTTAATAAGGGTGTCGAGTTCCTCGTCTCCACGAATGGCAAGCTGCAAGTGCCTGGGTGTGATCCTCTTCACTTTGAGATCCTTGCTTGCATTACCAGCCAATTCAAGAACCTCTGCTGTCAAGTATTCCAGAATTGCAGCAGAGTAAACAGCTGCTGTCGCTCCTACCCTTCCATGGGCCGAGGTTCTTGACTTGAGTTGACGGTGAATTCTACCGACTGGAAACTATAATCCCCCAAACGTACCAAAAAAATCATATCAAGCATTGTACAATATATCTTGGTAAAAATTATACTTCTGTTCATTGTGCTAGATGCAGTGAAGAAGAAAATATCCTAGATAGAAAAATTGAATATCACACGACTGTGTGAAATAATCTTCTATGATGCAGCCTTGATAAGATAGATATCTTAATGCTATTGTCAGAGTGTTCATTATACAGCATGAGTTCAAAGATGATGTTCATGCCAAAAGCTAAAGACATTTTGGACATATATCAACAATGTAATTTACACTTTTAGACGTGTTGTTTAGCCTTGCATTGCAAAGGACAAGTAAGCAGGCTGGATTTTACAGATAACGTCTGCTGTATTTTCTTTGTCATACTTGTCCTTGTACTCTTGGCTATACAGTTTGTGTAACACATACATATCAAGTTAATTCCTCAAATAGTTATTCAACTTAATGAATTATCTAGTAAAGTCATTTTTTTGTTCCAATAAAGTCACTGTACTTCATATATTTGTCTTACTTACAAAGCAACAATAGCTAGAAAACCACTTTAAAAATTACTTGAAATGATTGTGAATATAAAACCACAAACTATACCTTCACACTGTTTATTATATTAACTGTCGGTTAATATATATATAAAACTGTCAGTTACTGATTTTATTAACATTGTTTATTTGATTTGTTTTTTATTTATTCCATTAACTTAATAAGAAACAAAAAGAAAGTGTCATGAGTTCCAAAATATATGTATATATAATACTCTGATTTTGACTATCTTTACTTGTCACTTAGATTAACTTTTGTTGAAGTAAAAGACTACAAAAGAGGAAGTGGAATAATAAGTGGGAAGAAATAGAAACAGGGGGAAAAAAGGCAATCCTGAAAGACTAGCAATCCCTAACCCATCTAATATTAGAAAGATTAACTTTTCATGTAAATCTTGTGTAAACACTAATTCAAGTTATTTTTTCTATTCAAGAGGGATAAATCTGCCCTTCTATATTTAGAATAAGAATGTCAAGGAGCAAATATGGGAGATAATAGAATCTGTAAGGAAAAAAGGTCTACATTTTCCCCAAATCAGAGATAATTTTCAATTTCTATAAATCCTCAAAGAAAAAGATGATCCTAATTGTTATTTCTTGATGATCAGAACTAGATATCAATAGTCAGAAAACATACCTCCCAAAAAGAAGGGGAACTCCACACCTACAACTCATTCAGTTCAATGTTTCTTACCCTTATTATTAATATTACCAGTATGCTTTAAACCATATTAACTTGAAAATATTTTATTGTTATATTACTATTTATGGTATGGTATTCTATTGGTTGAAATCGCAAAGATTCTAATTTAATAAGTAGGACTGTTGCTTTGTTATTTAATACTTTATTATATATGGTATAGATAGTAAGTGATTTTATACCCAAAACCATTTTAAGTAACTTTTAAAGTGGTTTGCTAGCCATTATTACTTTGTAAGATAAGTGTATGAACTTAAGTGACATTATTGGGACAAAAAAAGGATAAATGACTTTACTAGGTAATTTCACTAAGTTGAATGACCATTTGAGAAACTACCTCCTCAGATGCCTATATACATGAATGGACAGCTAATTGTCTTTCACTTGGCAAATTATATCCTCAAATCAAATTAGAATCAAAAGAAAGTATACATATACAAGGATAATGAAACAGAATAGGCACTCTAATCTGCTTACATTAGCACTAGTTTTTGTACTACTACCATGCTGACAAACACTACTAGCACTATTTTTCCTATTGTCCATGGAGAATATATGAAGCAGTACTATCTTTAAGACAAAAAACAACATAACAAAACAGAACAAGCAACCACTGTGTGAAAAGGAATACAAACTTTCAACCAGTTTTAACTTAAGTTTGCACCTTCTATGAAACCCTTCAACAGAAAAACTGTAAAACCCAAATCTTTTAGCAAGTTTTTTGAAATCCTTCAACAGAAAAGCTGTAATGAACAAATCTTTTAATATAAGAAGATGAAACAAATATTACCTGGAGACCAGCACGTGATGAACGAGAAACGGGCCTTTTCTTGTCTTTCTCTTTGTTGGCTGCAGCTGCTGCTGCCGCCGCTGTTGTCTTTCCTGCTAGCAGTCCTTTGCCTCCTTTCCCCGCCATCTTCAAATCTAAATTAAATTTAAAAAGCAAGAAAGGAAAAGGTCAGTATTTTGTTTTTGTTTCTCAAATCTAAAAAGGGAGCACAGAAGAACATAAAATTAAGAGAGATAAAAAAGCTTCTCAAAATTCGTGTCAACGATAAATCCATAAGATGAAGTAAAATCTGATTATTTTTTTTACCCAGGAATTAAACAATTGAAGACAGATCTTTACTCCGAGTTAGCTAAGAGAAAAGGGCAATTTTGCTGAGTAGCAACAACAAACAAAGATTTACCGAACATGAAAGATAAAAGAAAAGAAAGACAAAGACAAAAAATTAGGGTTTTTAACCCAAATCTCTTTCCCGAAAAGCAAACTACAACTGGGAAACAAATTACAGAGAGGAGAGAAGAAAATGAGCGTACCTTCGAACTTTTGGTCTAAGCAGAGAGAGATAGAGAGAGAGATTTGAGAAGAAGATAAAGAGACTAGTCAGATCTGTAATATTTCCTTTAACTGCAACAACTGCAACAAATTTATTGGAATTTTGGATTGTTGTGAATGGTAAGCCAGTTCGCCGCCTACGTTTTCCTTTTGGGTGGGAATTCTGAAAAAATTGGACTCTTTTTAAGGTTTCGAATTTTCGTTGCTCTACTAATTTACCCTCCTCTTTAACCCATCTTTGGGTGGAATACTCATGGCCCAACCCAAACCTTCTAGCCCAAGCCCGCATAGAGTCCAATTTCAGGGCCTGATGTTAAAGTCTTGACTCATGGAATAAAATAAAGATTGGGCTTTTAACACATTTGATCGGCCGGCCGGAAGTAATTACATATGAGATTTTTTCGTTCTCATATATTATTTGAAACCTTATTACCAAAAATATCCCAATTTTGGAATTTACCCGACCTAAACACGTTTTAGCTACAATAAATATACATTTGTTTAAACTAGACTCCTTTCTGCGGTAGACTTCCTTATTTAGACGCGTGATTTTGGGATAGCTTATATTTCAGTTAGAAATTTTAGACGCAATCATCGCACCATAATCAAGGCAAACATATCTGTAGAATTCTTCTATTACGCAAATTTTCTCTGGCTATCATCGCACCATAATCAAGGCAACATATCTGTAGAATCTTTCTGTTACGCAGATTTCCTCTAGTTTTCCATAAACAAGTCAACAAACTCAAAAAAAGCTTCTAAAAAATAATTGCAAACAATTAGCTACAATTGAATTGAATTTCGCGACATAATGTCAAAATTGGCGATTATGCTTCAACTCAATGGTCGGTGGGATAGCGTTCAGAGATACAAAGATTTTGATGTTGATGGAATTGTAGTCAATGAAGATTCAAATTATAGTCAATTGAATTCCGCAATTGTAGAGTATCTAATGATCCAATGGAAATTCGGAACGATATGGGAGTTCGAGTGTATATGGAGACTAAAAAAGAAAATAAAAACTTATGAATGTATCTGTTGTGTATAACAGTACGTGATTTCGATTTGGAATGCAGTATGTCGAATGCGAACATAATTGCAGGTTTGCTCTGTTTTTCAAGTGCTGATGTTTTTCAATTTCAAGTGTTCTACAATTTTACTACAAATTATCTACAATTATACTACATAACAGATGTAGTTCAGTTGTTATGTCTCTAAATACAATTGAAGTGTAACTGTTACACAGTACTTAAGGTTTGAAAAAATAAAAATGTGATCACAGAACAAAGTATCTACAAGTATTTTGTCAAATACTGAACACTTGAATATACAGAGGTCTGAATTACTATACTTTTAATTGAGTGCAGGTACTTCTGATTATCGTAATACTAATGTGGTACAATTGTCAAACAATTATAACACAATTGGAGAAGTATCAGGAACAGTGAAGCTGATCGATATGCCAACATCTCCGGCAATTATGGAATATGAAAGTATCATCACAACAGAACATACGCCAAATGTAATTGAAGTGGGCCAAGTTAACCAACACATGCAAATAATTGTCAGTGCAATGAAACATTATTCTTTTATGAATAAGTTTCAATTTAGGGTGAAAAGGTCTAGTGCAGGAAGGTAGGAACATTTTATTTGTCAAATTCATATTGTGTATAAGTTATAGTTTTTATGTATATAAATTATTTAAAATAATTTGTTGGGCATAAACAGCCTCGTATTCTATAGCTACAATTTGCATAACATTTTTTAAATTATTTTTTTTTCTGTAGCTACTGCCTCGTATGTGTTGGGAACAATTGTACGTGGCACTTCAAGTCCACCAGCATAAATGAATCAGCATTGTTCAAGTTTCAAAAATTTAACAGCTTGCACACATGCTCTTTGATGGACAACACATATATACAACGCAAAACTACTTCCATGGTAGTTAGAAGCATGGTGATGCCAAAATATACGGATCATAAGACAATATATATACCAAAAGACATACAAACTGACATGTTGTCGGAACATAGTGTGAACTTAACATACATGCAAGCTTGGAGAGCAAAGAAAAATGCTTTGGAATTTTTGAGAGGCCATCCTGCTGATTCCTACAGTCGCTTGCCGAGTTATTTGTATATTTTGGAGAAAACTTATCCGGGGTCAGTAGTGAAATTGCAGAAGACTGAAGATGAATATTTTTTGTATGTACTTGTTGCTCTTAGTACGTCCATCAAGGGTTGGGAGCATTGTAGGCCAGTTGTAGTAGTTGATGGCACCTTTTTGAAGTCGGCATATAGGGGAAACATGCTAACAGCTAGCACAATGGATGCAACATGTAATGTAGATTAATTATAAAAATATTATAATAAAGTTATTTCTGAGACTGTATTTTTAAGTTTTATTACTGAAATTAAATTTTGTTTTTACTACCTATGTGATAAGTAGCATATTACCACTAGCATACACCATTGTTGATTTAGAAAATGACGTATCATGGAGGTAGTTTTTTGAGCAATTCAAACATGTATATAGTGAAAAATCAAATATGTGTGTTGTTTCAGACCAGAATGAGAGTATATTGAAGGCAACATCTATTATTTATACCGGCATGTCACATTAAGCTTGCATGTGGAATATTTGGACAAATGTAAGGTCAAAGTTCAAGAAAGATCATCTAAAGTTAAGTGAATTGTACTTTGTCACGGCACGATCATACACACTTGATGAATTTAATGAAAGAATGTCAAAGATTGAAGAGATCGACACACGTGTTAAAACATACCTATACGATATTCGCTATCACGGATGGTCTCGGGTACATGCTACGGTGAACAGAACACGGACGATGACATCAAACATTGCAGAATCCTTGAATGCAGTAAACCAAATATGCAAGAGAGCTGCCCGTAGTTGAACTATTAGAGTACATGAGGACTCTTCTTGAACGTTAGACTAATAAAAAGTTATTGAATGCAAATGGTACGTTCACATACCTTGGAAAAAAATACAACAAAGAGTTGGAAGACAATAGGATATTATCGCAGAAGATGAGAGTAAGTTTGGGCCAATAACATCGGATCATTTATTTCATCAAACTAAATATATACTGATAATTGTAGATATATTGTTGTATAATTATAGTTATTTTATCTTTTATCTGTAGCTAACAACTTATCGTGTGTTTGTAATAAAAATGTAAGTGAGGGCTTCAACATATTACATCCATACTGTGATAGATGGTGTGAAGCGCTTCATTATTTGCCTTTAAAACAAGAGATGTGGTTGTGGACAATTTCAGCTTGATGAACTTCCTTGTCCACATGCTTTGGTGGCTTTGAGGCACAGGAATGAGTCTTGTAAAAACTATTGTTCTCCTTATTACACGAGGGAAAGCCTTCTGCATACTTATGAAATACCAGTAGACCCACTGCCTGATGAAAGTAAATGGAATGTGCCACAACATATAGCAGAAGAAGTTGTAATACCACATACTAGGAAAAGGCAGCCAGGGAGACCTCAAAAATAAAGATACAAACCATATGATGAAATAAATATAAAAAAGTACAAGGGTGCATGTGGCAACTGCAGACAAGAAGGGCATAACAAAAGATCTTGTAGAAATACTCCAAAAAGGAAATAAGAATTGATATAGTATAAAGAATTTTTTTTTTACTCAGTACTGTTGATGATTATCTGTCCTTTAAGACATATTCAGTTGTATTTGTTCTGTTCTGGAGAATTATAGTTGTGGTATAATTGTGTTGCTAATTTGAATAAAGATAATCTCCTATAATGAATATTTGGTAAACAGATTTCAACTCTTAATGTAACTGGTGTGTAGTTGTTTTGTTAAAAAACTGGGTTTATTTATTAGTTTTAAGTTTTTCCTAACAACACTGCTAAAATTGAATAGATTCTGTATTTTTGTATAGTAGTTGTAGACATAATTGTAGTTATGCTGTAAAAAATTATATAGTACCAATATCGAGATCAAAACAACTTTCAACAAAAAGATATGCCACAAATGTTTTCTATTGTAAGTAGTAAAATTCTGGACAAAATAACAAAATAAAAGGTAAAACAACTATAGCACAAATCTGCTACAAATAAAATATAGCTAAATTGTTCTTAATAAATATTTTTTCTACAACTTTAATACAATCCAACTACAACTAAACACTTTTAAGATTTTACAAAAATCTTGATTTCTTCCATTAAAATCTTAATTAAACGATGAATATAATCATAGATTCATGAAATATAAATACTTTAGGATATAGAACACTTAACCCAATCCATATGATAAAAATCACCTCAAAAATCGCTTCAATCTGAGCTCCATAGCTCCAAATATGTTAAACATTGCTGAAAACTCGAAATATAGCTACTGCCCAGGTATTTACTCTTCGCGATCGCGAAGCACAAAATTTTTCAGCCCCAAAATTGCTCTTCGCGATCGCGAAAAACCAATCGCGATCGCGAAGAACAAACTTCACAACTCTTCCAGATAGCCTCTAGTATAACGGTCATAACGTTTTGTACAAAACTCCGAATGATGAATGATTTAACTTTCTGAAAACTAGATTCCAAGGGGTATAACTTTCATTTGTTTCTCATCTCCAATTCCTTATAGATTTTGAGATATAAGCTTCCAAAGTCAGCCCTATGCAACAGAGATTTCAAAACTCTTCCCGTATAGCCTATAGTGTATCCACCATAACTTTTTGTATAAAACTTCAAATTACAAATAGTTTACATTTCTGAAAACTATAGACAAAGGGCTACAACTTTCGTCTCCAAATTCCTTATAAATTGCGAGATATAAGCTTCCAAAGTCGGGTCAGTGCAACAGAAAATTTCCTCTACACGATCGCAAAAAGCCTTCCGCGATCGCGATTCACTGGCCATTTTCCCCCATTTTGTGCTTCGCGATCGCGGCCAATTCCACGTGATCGCATAGCACACTGCTGTAGCCAAAAACCACCAGCTATAATTGGCTTAGAAATGGTCCAAAACCACCTCGAAACTCATCCGAGCCCCTCGGGACCCCGTCCAATCACACCATCCAGTCCCATAACATATCACGGACCTGCTCGAGGCCTCAAATCACATCGAACAACATCAAAACGATGAATCACACCTCAAATCAAAATCTATGAACTTTGAACTTTCAAATTCTATATCTTGTGCCGAAACACATCAAATCAATCCGGAATGACTTCAAATTTTGCACACAAGTCATAATTGACATAACAAAGCTATTCAAATTTCCAGAATCGGATTCCGACCCCGATATCAAAAATTCAACCCCCGGTCAAACTTTTCAAAAATTCGACTTTCGCCATTTCAAGCTTAATTCCACTACGGACCTCCAAATAATTTTCCGGACACGCTCCTAAGTCCAAAATCACCCAACGGAGCTAACGAAACCGACAGAACTCTATTACGGAGTCATCTTCACATATTTCCGACTATGGTCAAAATCCTAAGACTTAAGCTTCTGTTTTAGGGACCGAGTGTCCCAAATCACCCCGAATCATCCGGTAACTTAATTCAACCATGCACGCAAGTCAATACACATAATACTAAGCTGCTCAAGACCTTAAGTCGTTGAACGAGACACTAAATCTTAAAATGACAAGTCGGGTCGTTACATTCCCTACCTCTTAAACAAACATTCATCCTCGAACGTGCTAAGAATCTTTCTGAGGACTTTAAATTCTTGAGTATATTCTTGCACACATATTGTGGGCAATTCTACATTCCTGCAATTTAACACGGGCCCGACAACACCATCTCGATTGAGATTATTTCGTTTCTCCATTCTTATAAGCTTTAGAGCAAAAATCCCTAACTCTCCAATCATTTCCAAAATACCTGATTCTTACTTCGATGCACGGTATTAGTCTCAACTGGCTATAACAACTCGTGCCTATGCATACATCAACTTTCTTGATAGTGTTGAAGTACTTCAAATTTTTTTCTAGGGTGTTTCATTCTTCCCCGCTTAGGATCATTCGCCTTCAAACACATAACATAATTTGTCTCTTCTTTTGCATGTCTCAATCCCCCAAATTTTTACTAACTCCCAAATTTTTTAGAAATTTTTGGCAGAGTCTCTCTTGTAATTGGGCCTAACCACCTGCCAGAGTAACACCAAAATAACTCCAACAACACATCTGCAACCCAACAAAACACCACAGGGTATATATCAATAACATCAATCTCGGCATCACAAGCACTGAATTACCATAATGATATCACGACATGAAGCACATCATATGTATGCTCATCACCACATCTCTGGTCTTAAAAGTTGTCCATAATTAATTCCAGCATCATCAATTAATCTCGTATTAACCACCACCTCATTTTGAATTTCCACAACACTGACAACGGAATGTGAGGCATGAAGACCGCATGATTACTTACTCGGATTAATGAATCACATTTAATGCCACCTGGGCACTCATCTCATAGGTTAAAACTCAATGTTTACAGCACGAAAATGGCTGAATATGCACAAAAAATATACAAGAATTATTAGATAAGCCTAACATGCATGAATCCCTATTAATATTATTGTACAAATTAATTTCACAAAGGGAGAATATTAAACTCATAAATATTTCACCACAAGGACCTCGTCCTTACATAACTTTTACCGTGGCTTGCAGCCCGGTTTAAATATTTTACATCATGTAAAAACTTGAGGATCTCGTCCTCAACTCCGAATCATAAGTATGTTGCACATTGTGCCAACTAAAATTTTCAATTTCCTTTCTTTCTTCTTTTCAATATATTTCATAAACAATTTTCACAACACATAATGAACCCTTATACCGGTAGGGCGTATAATTCATAAAAATTGGAATCAATTATTGCGAAACACATTAAACCCACTGTAATGAATAATAAATATTACTTTTGAACTTATAGCCCTCAATGGTGTACAAAAATAAATGACAGACACTGGCTCACACCTTCAAATCTCCCAACAGAGATAAACTTATAAGTGGGTCATAAATTTACGAAGCTCACCCATGAGTGGAGCATAATAGGAGGACTCGCCTCAATATTCAGAACCGAATCAAATTAAGGAAAATATCCTTTTATAATAAAAATCAGGATCATACCTGTAATGACACCATCTGGTTTATTGGCCTCATCCAAATCATAGCGATTAAATCAACGGGTCGGGCCTCCACCTCTTAGGCGCCCACTACCCGCCTGTCCTCCACCTCTAGCTGACTGTGTACGTGGAGTATCAACTGGAATAAAGCTTGTAGCTGGAGTGTTCTGATGAAATCCACCCCCATCACCCCCGCTATAATTTTTCTACTGAAAAA